CATTTTTTGTAGAAGGAAAATTGTTTCGCAGTAGATCAAGGGAATCTATTGCGCAAACTTTCAGCGGCTATTTGTCTTCCCTAAAAAATGTATCTTGTTATTTAAACAAATCATTATATTTTTAGTAACCAGACCAAAACACAAAAATGACGAAGATTTCTTTTTCACTTCAGGCTTCACCCTTCTACGGATTTTGAGTTTGCCAAATTTATTTTTCTCAATACTAGTGTTAAAATTATTTTAATTTCTCATGGCAATTAATGTACGCACACAACTCGAGACTATAACTCGGTAATCCATTAGCTTGTGGCCGGAGTCAAGATGACGCTTTTACTAAGCGTTCATTGCTGGTTGAATGCTTAGTAAATTTATCCTAAATTATAAGTCTCACCTTAGATCGTCAAATTGTCTTGACAAAAAGTAGAGTAGAAACAATAGTTAGAAAAGGTATGAATTAATTAGTTGGTTAGATACAGAGCACTGGGTTATTAGATTATATAAATGAATCGAACAGCTTAAAGAAATATACCTATGAGGGGAGGTTGAGCTAATCTTATTTTGTTCATCAATATTTTATCTTCTTACTAAGGTCGGTGGCTGATTAGTATGTATGGTTGCCCTTGATGTTTGTCCAAGTCAGCACTTCTGGTTGGGTCGTCTGAATCGTCTTGCCGTAGTCCTTTGGGTACTTGTAGTCCAGACTTCCTCGGGGGTGCGTATCTCGAGTATCTCGATTTATAAATTTTCAAATCAAACTTAAACTGAGAATTTATTCTTTTTTTTATAAATGAAAAGGGCTAGATTAATTTTAGTGTTAGGGCAGAAAAGAAAAATTATTTATTTTTAAAAGATTTGACTGAAGAGAAATGACTTGCTGCTGACTGAGCAAAATGAAACACTGAAGATTTCAGGCCAGTCCTTTTGCTCATAAGCATAAACCGGCGGCTGATTCAATCTTTAATTATTCAGGTTTCACCTGCTCCTTTGTTCTCCCTTTTTAATAAGGGAATTTTCAACTAGTTTTTATTTGATTTTTTCAAATCAAATATCTTCAACTTATTAGTCCCCTTTGATAAAAACCGCAGCCTTCAGTTTGTCTTATTAAAAATTCATATTACTCTCTCTGATGCATCATATTGCAGGTGCACCTCTGCTTAATCAAAGCAAGGAGAATTTCAGTGCAGCCGGCAAGACTGCTAAATATTTATCCAGTTTGTTTCAAGTTAAGTTAAAAGGGACGTATTAATAATCGCCGCCCTTTTAAAATATTGAGCATGAAAAAATGAGAAAAATTGGACAAGTATTTAAAAAGTAATGGATTTTCAAAACAAGATTTTATAGTCCTAATAAGAGTAAATCAGTCAATATCTGATTTAGTGAAAAGAGGCTTTAATTTAAATGGCACGCTCCAATTTAGAATTGGGTCGTTAAATAAACAATTAAGACAATGGTCTTTTGTGTGTGTAGTATTTCGCAATACTACACGCTCAAGAACCTCTCAAAATGTTGACAGTCTAAGAGGAAAAAGTTGACCAGTTTAATTTTTCTCGAAAAAACGCTCGAACCGCTTATTCAGAAACACAATTTTGAGGGAATTTTTCAGCTTAAAATGAGAAAAACTCGCAATTTGGATGCTAATTATCTTCAAACTGCCCTTTTGCTCAGTTTCATGACACAGTCTTCTGGCTGACCTACCCGGCCAAAAACTTGCTTATCGTGAATTGGGCACCAATGCACGCAAAAACTGAAGCAGAAGCAAGCGTCAAAATGATACCATTTTTGCATTTCTGTTGAACAAAACCAAAATAGTTGAGCTAGAAAGTCAACTTAACCCCATTCATTGCAAGAAAAAAAATCTAATTTTTCTAACGATAATTATACCTCCCAATTTTTGACACGCAGGCGAAGCCAAGCTTTGCAACACTTACAATATAACACAAACTCAGCACTCCAAAATATTGATTAAAAATGTGAGACGCAGGTCGCAATTTTATTCACATAGGTCGCAAAATTGTGAGGCGAAGTATTTGCGTTAATAAGCACTCATCAAGGCGGCTCGTATATAAGGGCAAAACTCCATAAAAACAGGATCATGTTCTCACCTAGTTAGGAAAAAAATATATTGGAAAATTATCTAGTTCCCGATTACAAATACTCTTGCTTAGCAAGTTAATCTTATACTTAATTCTAAACAACTTTTGGGGAAAGATGGGAGTCTTTTTGTTCGTTCAACACAAACATTGGGCCAGAAATCTTGATGGTTTATTTGGTATTTCATCATTTTTATTTGTAAATATGTTTCTTCTCATTCGAATAATGTTGCAATTCACTAAAGGTCAGCGCAAGAAACGAATCTTGATATTTGAAGATGAATAATTTATTGAACCTTGATTTAATTAAAACAGCGGGTTAACAAATTGGAGATGCTTGAAAAGAATTTGCAAATCATCTGGGAAGTATTTACACAAGATGATTCATTTGTGGAAAAAAATGAGATGATTTACTTTCAGTGTTGCCTCTCAAACAAGAAGTTGAAAAGTAATTTTTCTACACGTGGCTTAACTTTTTGCATTTTTTGCAATTCAAACTTTGAAGAAATTCGGTTCAAACAAGCTTAAAAAGCATGACCGTAAAACATGCATAGCAATTAAAAATCGTGGAAGAATGTACGCAACTTTGACAAAATTATTTCAAAAAAGCGTCCTCACTATTTGAATAACTTTTGGTGGAGGCATAAATTAAAATTTCCAAATCGTTTTAGTGTCAAGCAAACAGTAAAAGAACGAGTGCAAAACTCGAAAGAATATCCCCAATCTATTCATCAAAACGTAACGAGCAAGGGGAAAGAACTTCTTGGCTCATGACTCGGGGCCGGGGGATTCCGACCGACTTCTGCTGCTTATCACTAGGGCAAACTGGACATTCTTACACAACAAGGTAAATTTGAAAATTGTCCCGCATTATTCTATCAAATATATACAGGACATGGTTTTTATAGATAAATGCTCCCTCCATTCTTTTACAACGAAAAACTCAACAGCATATCCACAAAAATGTTGTGTGTTCTATGAACTTAACCCTTTATTAGAGTCAGCAAAACTGATTTCGAAAAAGCAGCAATTTCCTTTTTCAAATCGAAAAACCACACAGCGACCGTAAAAGGGGGCTTTTTTCATTTTTCGAAAAATACAAAAATTAGGATTTGCGGATTAATACAAAAAAGACAAAGATTTAAGAAAGTAAGTGAAAGAGACTTTTTCCAATTGGCGAAAAATACAGGAATTAGTAGTGGCGGATGAATACAGAACAGACAAAGACTTAAGAAAGAAAGTGAAATCGTTTATTGCGCTGGGCTGCATAAATGAATGCGACTTGGAGTTGGCACTAGAAGCTGTCTAAGCAAAAAAACTCGAAAAATCAGCTCCATTCTTATTTCGATTTTTTTAAAATGTGGGTGGGGAAAAAAGGTACGGAGAGTTCCACGAAAAGATCCAGATTTCAAAGAGCTACATGGAATTGGTTCAGCGATTCGATAAATGAAATTGAAAAAATCAACAATTCGTTCGAACGACGGCATAAACCTTTTCAATTGGTATTTGGTTATGCTCACCCACTCTATCAACAAACTTGTTCAGGAAACGAGGAATGAGCAAAATTCAACGAAAAAAAAGCCAGATTCGGTTCAAATTTTGAGAAAAACCCTATAAATGTTCTAAGTATGAACAATTTTAACAACGGATATGAGAATTTCTTGGAAAAAACTATCAAAACAAGGATCTAATTTGGCAGCTAAAAGCTCTTTCATCCAACTTTGATCTGTAAACACCCTTTATACCATTTTAAATCAAAACTTTTTTAACGCCTCAAAAGCTTTGATATTTTACCGTTTTGTCTTACATTTAAATTTAAAAAAAATTAATTTTTTTCCGAGTTTTATACAAGTTGTTGTCTCTTTCTCAAGATGTTGCTAGTTATCTTTTTTGCGTGTTCGCAAAATCAATAACGTTCTAGAACAAATATTTAGTTATAGGCGTACGATTGAGTTAAAAAACACACCAAAAACCTAATCATTAATTATACAATAGTTCAGCTTTTTGATTTTTATCGATTACACACTGTCAATGGTACTAAGTTACTTGTTGTAAACCTCTACAGTTTTATGTAATTTGAAGCAAATAGTTTTTTCAGTTCAATTGTTGAATTTAAAATGCATCAACTGTGTTAACTTATTACTATTCGAAGGTTATTACTATTCAAAGCACATGCTACCGAAAAGCTGTAAATAAGCTCCAAAATAAACTAATATTTGCGAATAAGGTTAGAAAAAAGGTTCTTAACGATACACTAATCTAACACTAGTGTAATTATTAGGATTGAATCAAAATACTTACAAAAGATTATTTCTGAGACTGCTTGATTCCCAACTGAAAGGTGATATCTCAATCAGCTTATTACGTTTGTTAGTCTTGTCTGAGTTTGTCTGGGATAAACCGATTACAAAATTCTGAAGACTGCTTGATCGGAAAAAGTCAGCAAGACCAAAAACTTGACGAAGCATTCCAGACAGTTGATATGTTATTGAACTCACGCAAACCGAAAAATTGACTCTGAAAACTTTCCTATTTTCGAATTTCAGAGAAATTTGCTCCGGAAAATTGAAATCCACTATCGAAACAATTATAAATCACTGGTTTGAATCGAAACTGATTTGAAAACCGAAAAACCCAACATAACCGTCAGACAGTTGTAAAAGCGCAAATGAACGCAACTGAACAGAAAAAAAATACGACGTCAAAAAAAAATCGGGAACAATTTTTGATTGACATGTTGTTTATGATTTCATTCTGAAGTCGCATTTTCGTCGAAAACTTAAGAACATTAACTTCACTAAAACCTCCTCTCCCGACAATATATCTTCGTATTAAATCAGTACCATGTGTCACTGAAACGAAAAATAATTCAATTTTTGTACAAAAGAAATGTTTCATATTTTTCAATTATCTAGTATTTTCAAAGTAAATCTATTATTGCGATATTCATAAATATTCGTATATTGAGAAGTAAAACAAAGAAATATTATTCTGATGAATATTACTTCAGATAGCAACAAACTATGCACCCAAACTTAAATCCCAATAGTAGTAGTAGTATAGTGTCATCTGGTGAACGTTATAATTGGATATTTGCAGCACTTAGCACAGGCAATAGTAAAGCATCGTGGCCGAAATTTAAAACTGCGTGAAATGTTCATTGCAAAATATGAACTCAACTAACTCGGAAAACAACTAAAGTAGATCAACTTAAAATCAATTGAAAATCGGAAATAATCGGAAGCAAAATTTAAAACATTTCTACATATCATTTAGGATCTATTGCATTGCTTTAAATTCGTCGAACTTGCTCTTTTAAAAATTGCACCATATAGTTTCACAGAATTGACTCTAGATTTTTCATGTACAGGAGTAAAAATCATCATCGTGGCTCCATTATTTTTTTCGACCAGTGCTTTAAGTAACGGTGTATGAAACTACTCTTAAAAGTCTCAACAGATTCAGAGATCGGAGAGAAATGTCTAGATACTGTATAAACCTCAACTTAACAGAACTAAAAGCGTCATAATAAGAGACTATCAAACGACCCATTTCTATTTATTATTGCTCTAGTATAGTAAACAACTTATATCCATTTGGCCATGCAAAAACCCAATATATATTTTTACTATTCAAACAAATCTCAACATCCATTTTCCTTAACAAACTAACAACAATTTCAACGGAATCTGATCCTTTGCAATTGACATCATATAATCGCTTCCAAAATGACAAAAAATGGCCAAATGCAGCATTTCATTATAAATAAACCGTTTTTTTGTTGCTGGTATTATAAAATAAACAAGTAGTTTTCGATTTTGCCTGGCTATGTAGTGAGTGCTTCCTTGAGTTTCTGGATGGCTGTGACTGGAATGAGGAGACCCACTACCTTCTGGTTGTCGCTCGTCTTCAATCTGATCACTTGCATCTTACTGTTGGTCACCTGGGCTAACATGGTCTCCACTTTGTTCCACACAGATAACACACTGCCACTTAACACGTACAGTTTCCTCATCCGCTTGCCCACGTCACAATTCAGACGTCTGCAGCTGCCATGACTGAAAAAAAACATTTAGTTTATGGAATCGATGCACAAAATCATGACACATATGTAACTTTCACTGGCCGACAATTTTTCTGAAGATCGGTTTGTTACCAACGTGTACAGATCTAAAAGGTTGGACATCCACAAAAAAATTTCGCAATTGACAAAAAAATATTGGTATAACATTGGACAACAGCTCAATCGAGCAAAATCTAGCTCCAAATCTGATACCATAAGCCGCATAGAATTGCTTTTACTAAGATACAACTTTGTGACTTTTGTCCACTGAAAGAAAAAACACTGGCAAAAACTGTTATGTTAAGTGAGACATGACTACTTTAATCTACAACTCACTACATGTTGTGACTGCAAACCGCCTCTGAGAGTGAGTGCAGTTTGTGCCAGAGGGACTTGGCCTGAGTGGGCTCCACCTTCTTCATTACTTCCCGCACACTCTCCGCCGTCTCCAGTTTGGCCAGAACTCCCACGTTAGGCCTAGTTACCGTGTACAGCACCTGATTGGCACAAAATCATGTCAAGCAGAGAGCAAAACTAAGCCAGCGAAGAACAATTATAAGTTAAATATTTTGATTTCACAATCAATTCAAGTTAATTAACACTGACCTTTTAAATGCTCATTATCACTACATTAAACGCCATAACAAACAATCAGTATTTTCACAGCCTTAATTTGACCGTTTTCAAAATAATTTCGTTAAGCTATTTGGAGGACATATTCAGTCGTGTAAAAAACTCAATGTAAGCGCACTTACAAAATTTCAAACTCCATTGAAAGTTTCACCGACTCAATTATAACACATGAAAGCAAAGAGCGGTTGACAAAAATACATAGAAAAATAGCCAACTAACAGTTGGAAAAGAGCAATGAACGCAAAGAAACTGAAAAAAAAAACTGATTTGTTTTTCCAAGAGCCTTCAACTTTTGAAATTCGAAAAAAGAGATGGCATTAAAGCTCTTTAAATTTCTAAAACAAATTATGATTGTCACTTTTTTCGCTAAAATTTACGTATTTGAGAAAACTGGATCATTACGTAAATTTTTCATTTCCTGAGAAACTTTCACTCAAAGGATCGAGATCAAACTCCAAAGTGAACACAATTATTTAATTAGAAGTAAACAAGAAATTGAGTAAAATATAGTCAACAGACAGTTGGAAAAAATAAAAATGCAAAGGAAATAAAATTTCAAAAACATCTTTCAAAAATTTTTGATAAAAACAGCATAAAAAAACTCACAAAAAATCTGCCATAAATATATGAACTCAACTACTTGCACATAGCCGGAATAAAATGAAAGAATTTTTTTAAAGAAATGCCTAAATTCTAGGCAAAAGCCTTGTTGTGGCAACTAAGCTAACAAAAATCAGCAGACAAACAGAAGTCCGACACGACAAAGCTTTTTTGGACATGCTGAAAATTTTTCCATTTACAAAAAAAATAAGTCCTAGTCAGATTCGATCCATTAATCTCTTTCTTTGTTGACAGGTGCGTTATCTCAACGACACATGCGCAAATTAACGCCGTGCTTTTGATTTTATACATTCCAAAGTGTATACTGATTCAAGTGATCCCACGAAACTAGACATTGACCCAAAAAAGTCTATAACCCGATTGGATAACGCTTGCAAACAGAAAACGTAATGGATCAAAAACTTCCATCACAATACCGATTCATTTAATTTAAACTTAGCTAAGAGACAGTTGGCAAAGGTCAATAAGCGCAAAGAAACAGAAAAAACCATCTGCGACCTACTGCAATCAAGAAATTTTGAGTCTCACGCATTATCCACTCACCCACGCAAGCTTAACAACCGACGAACACTACTCACGAATAAAGCAGCTTCATATGCTAATAAATTGCCAATGCCAATCAGCAAAAGTGGCACCAAATCTAAATAGACTCAATTTTGCAAGTAATAATTTGGAATATAGAAAACTGAAGGCATTCACACTAACTTTGATGAAACAAATCGCAAAGCATATAGCCACATTATGTGTAAATTATGCATTTCAAAACTTGCGTGATATATTGCGTTAGAAAATTTTTGAAATCGAGTTTTCATTATTATTATGTTGTTTGAAACAAATCACTTTTTTCGGTTCATTTGATGAATTAAAAGTATCAACTGCGTTAACTTATTACTATTCGAACGTCAAAGCACATGCTATGAAAAAGCTGTAAAGGTGCCCCAAAAATGGCATCAATATTAGCGACTTAGGTTTGGAAAAAAAAGAAGGTTCGCACTTATACACTCACTTTGCAAGTGTAATAATTGTTATCTTGTTTGAAACAGTGGTTGGTTTCGGTTCATTTGATGAACTTAAAATGCATCAACTGTGTTAACTTATTACGATTCGAATTTCAAAGCACATGCTATCAAAAAACCGTAAAGGTACCCCAAAAGTGGCACCAATATTGCGACTTAATTAGAAAAAAGTCGTAATACAACACTAACGCTCACTTAAGTTCGCAAGTGTAATTAAAAACTTCTATACATTGGAAGAATCACGGGATCTTATTGACATCAACTCCGTTGTAAAAGGGGCACAATTGGTTAGTCAGGTTAAATATGCGCATATGCTTGACCGCTGGATAAGTTCAGTTTAGATGGGGAATAATTTTTACTAGATATCAAAGGCTTGAGCTGTTGACAAGATTCAACTTACCTTCTTGTTGTTCATTCTGACAGCACTGACCAAAACCACTTTCTTCGTCTGAGTCCCGTGCACTATCTTGTCGACATAGAAGCCCTCGTTCTCACTTTCGCCCATATTGGCCTGATTGTACTTCTTCAAAGCCTCGTCATATGACACGCCCCTCTCTACACACACTTCGTACAGCTCACAGTAGGTGCTGTCTTGATACTCAGATCGGAATGTCTCTATCTTGCGCTTAGTGATATGTTCCCCATTCTTGCCCAAATCTAGCAACATAGCCAACAGGCAATTTAAAAAGATCTCTAAGATGGGTTAATCTGCCCCTATGATACGCGTTAACAAAACTTTTGTAAAATCATTGCTCAAACTGCCGATTTTCAAAAGTCCATAACCCGACTGCAGGTGAATAATCAGGTGTAATTTTGCAGGTGAATTATCATTCTAATTCCGTGCCCAGGACATCAAAATCTTTTGAGAAAACTGAATCATTACGTAAAATCTTTCATTTCCTGAAAAATTTTCACTCAAAGGATCGAGATCGAACTCCAAAGTGAACACAATTATTTAATTAGAAGTCACCAAGAAATGGAGGAAAATATAGTCAACAGACAGTAAGAAAAAATAAAAATGCAAAAAGGAAATAAAATTTCAAAAACATCTTTCAAAATTTTTTGATATAAACAACATGAAAAAAACTAACAAAAAATCTGCCAAAAATATTGGAACTCAATTACTTGCACATAACCGGAATAAAATGAAAAAATGCCTAAATCCTAGGCAAACGCCTTGCTGTGGCAACTAAGCCAATAAAAAAAACAAGCAGACAAACAGAAATGCGACATGACAAAGGTTTTTTGGACATGCAGAAAATTTTTCCGTTTAAAAAAAAGTAAGTACTGGCCAGATTCGATCCAGCAATCTCTTTCTTTGTTGACATGTGCGTTATCTCTACGACACAACGCAAGTTAATGCCTTGCTTTGATTTCATATATTCCAAGGTGTAAATTGATTCAAAGGATCCTACGAAACTAGATAATGACCCAAAAAATCTATAATCCGATTGGATAACGCTTGCTAATAGAACGCGTAATGGATCGAAAATTTTCATCACAATGCCGATTCATTTAATTGAAACATATCTAAACGACAGTTGGCAAAGGATCAATGAGCGCAAAGAAACAAAAAAAGTCAATACTGATTTGTTTTCTGAATAGATCTCAACTTTCGAATTTCAAAGAAAAATAGATGGCCTTTAAAACTCTTCAATTTCTAGAACAGTTTGAGTAGCATTTCGATGAAAATTACCCAAGTTGAGAAAACTGGATCAATAGCTAACTTAATTAATACGCTGGGAAATCTGAAAATTAAATTCTACTTTCGCAACTTGAAGTCGATCTGTTTTTCGTGACCTTTACACTTACGTAAATGGAGAGCACAACTTACGTAGCTTTTAGCAGATGAAAATGAATTGAACTCGAATAGTGCATATATACCTAGATGCATTCATAAATGCAATAATTGGCATAAATGCACTTCTGTAAAATATTAAAGCTTTTTAAGACTTTTCCTGAAAAAAAATCATCACGACCGATATAGGAGTCTGCAGTAGGTTCGTCTACTCTTAACAACACTAATTGGATTTAACTCCACTTGATACTAGATTCTTTATGTATTAACAACTCCTCAAATTCAGACGAGAAAACTATAAAACAAATCGCAAAATGTCACATTGAAAAGTCGAAACTTGTCTAACCTAGAATGCCCAGATCGAATTTGCCCATCTTCTTCTCCTCCAAAATGATTGCATCCAGAGTGTTTGTGAAATGCTCAAACAGTGCATTCTGGTGCTTCACTGGCATGCCCAGGATCCTGTTCAGGAACTTAGCAATCGTGCTAGCATCTATAGAAAAAGACAAACTAAAAGGATACTATGCCTGCAATAAGACGATTAATGCTTAAGAATTGCAAAATACAATTGCAATCAGCAATATTAACTATGTGATCATATGCACTATTGTTCTTTCTGCCTATCGCCACCTTATGTCGTTACAAGTAAATGATACAAGAAAGACCGCAGACCCTTTAAAATCATCGTACTTAATTACCGCGGTTCCTCGTCAAAATGTTTTCATGAGTAATATTTTTAATCAACCCACCTTTGTCTAAAATTAGTTGACCAGATTGCGTTTTCTCACACAAGCCGACATCCACGAGACATTTTTGCATCTCTAAACAACAAAAGATTTTTACACAAGGCGAAGCTGCGCTTTGCAAACACTAACAAGTAAAGCTGGTTACTGTGCAAGTAGCACAAAAAGTTCCGACCATAGTCTTTAGAAAACTACGAATTAGAAAGTTTTTTCTCCAAATTAGTTTAGTTTTTTTTCGGCTTGGTGTGATAAAAAGGATCTGACGTACAAATATAATTAGGGCATATTAGACAGTCATAGTAGTATAGGCAAATTGGACAAAAAAAATTGTAGTAAAATGGCTAGAAAAATTTAGTAAAAGTTTTAAATTTTTTTTTCCCAGTGTCGAGAAAAACCGGTTTGATATTTCGGATTTTTTGTCTGAATTCGAGGAAATAAAGCAAGCGAGGAGGCTTCCAAGCTGAACTATGCCTAATTTAAAACCTTGGAACTTAATTTTAAGCAAGTAAAACTAGTTTTTGAGTTTTTTTAGCTTCATTTTGGGCATCAAGAACTCCAAAAACTAGTTTTACTTGCTTAAAACTAAACTTTACGGTCCTAAATTAGGCATAATTCAGCTTGTAAGCCTGCTCGCTTGTTTTATTTGCTCAAACTAAGACAAAAAATCAAAACTTTCAAACCGGTTTTTCTCGACACTGGTAAAAATTTTTGGAACGTTTTTAAAGTGGTTCGAATCACCACTGGTAGGGCTTTAATATATCACTCAACTCAGTCCGATCATTATTTGTGGTACCTGATTTTGCGTGGAAAACAAAAAGCAAAACAAAAACAAAATCACCCGAAGGCAAAGTTTTTCCCTAATTTCAACGGTCGGAACAAAACAAGAACATGACAAAAAATCAGCTTTACAAAGTGAAATAAGAAAAATAGAAATCAGCCTCGAATTAGCAAAACTTTGCTAGGTAACGGATTCGGAGTCTCACACCCTGCCCTCTCGACCACGAACAGTTAACATTCAGCAAAAAAGTCACCAAATATAAATTGACAGAATTTTGCAAGTAATAATTTGCAATATATCAGACTGGAGGCACCCACACTAACTTCGCATGTAATAAAATGGAAAGCATAAAACCACATGATGCTTAAAACCGCATTTCAAAAATTGCGAGATATATTGAGTTAGAAAATTTCTGAAATCGAGTTTTTATTATAGTTGTTATATGAAACAAATAGTTTTTTCGTTTCATTTCATGAATTAAAAATCCATCAGCAGTGTTAACTTATTAATATTCGAAAGTCAAAGCACATGCTATCAAAAGGCCGTAAAAGTTCCACCAAAAGTGGCACCAATATTTGCGACTTAGTTTAGAAAAAAGAATAATCGTACTATAACACTACGCTCACTTGAGTTAGCTAGTGTAAAAAATGCGCCAACAGCATGCATAATCATTTTCTTTCCAGTGTTCGAACTTTTTTTTGGAAAAAAAATCAGTACTGTTCATCAGTCTGAAACAGTTGCAATTGTAAGATCACAATTAACTATTTATTCAAGATCATGCTTTTGTATGAACAAAATCAAGAACTTAGGTACATTAATAGCGTGTGTGAACGAACAGTAGTCTGAAAAAAAAAGAGCAAATGAGCAAACTTGATGTTTCTTTGTTTCTTGTATTTTGAAAATCTTTTTGACTTCATTGCTGCTGCTTCATTACAATGGTGTGAATACGCCAGGTCCTGCAGGAGAGTTCATCAAGCACTCAAATTTATACCTTCGAAGCCATTTTCTTTAAAAAAAAAACTTAATACTATCCGGTGGGAATTTAGGACAAAATTATACGCCAAGTAATTCGGAATATACCTTTGAAGAAGTCTTTGCCTTTGAAGCTTTTTGGTGGCTGCACTTTGCACGGTTCTGCGAGTAAAACACTTGCGTACACGTCATCTAGTGCAATACGGCCATATTTGTTATCAATATTGAAACTGCTAAGATCTTGGTGTTCGGTCGCTCTTCTGTCCCCGTGTGTCAAAGCCCCCAAACATTCGAGACGCTTCGCAACAACTGAAGCGAATCTCCTCTCGCCGGCTAGTTCCGAGATGACTAAAAGATATTCCGGGGCATGGACTTGATTTGATCGGTGGGTTCTGCCGAACTGCTGTACGGCTCTATCCGCGGACCACGGTAGCTCCATTGTAATGTGGATGCGTCGGAGCTGATTTTTGGCACGCCTGTCCGCTTGAAGTGAAATTCCAGAGCTGGCAGCCTCACTTATGATCGCAACCCTCTGGAAAAACATCAAAATCTTTTTAAACAGCTTCCCAAAAATGGTCATAGAATGCTACAAATTAATATATCAATTTTTTATTGTTTTTAAAAAGGCGAATAGTCCTTCAGTAATGGGATCTATTTGAAGTGTTGCATTGTGGACAAAGGTTACTTTTTCGAGATCCATGAATCTCTTTTTCTCTGTAACATTGATGACTTCTAGAGAAACCATGGCCTCCGACCTCTTCTCGTACTGGATGTTTCCGGCGTCATTGCTCACAACGCGTCCCTTTCTTCCGGTCATCTGCAAAAAAATATATTTATGTCTAAAGTTGAAATTTATCAGCGAAAAAAAACAAACAAGAAAATTTGCCAGCTTACGTTCTGTAAAGGGTGATTCAGATTAAATATTTTTCAAAATGCAGTAAATTAAAACTGACATGGTTAACGAAACTATTTTTTAAGACTTGAAAATCCAGTAAATTAAAATTGACGCGGTTAACGAAACTATTTTTTGAAAATCCAAGACGCTACCAATTCTGAAAAACCTCAGAAGCAAAGAAATTTTAAACAGAGGTTTTTCTCCAGTTTCTAATGCATTTCTAAAACGGCATTACTGATGAAGAAATTCAAACATAGTTTGCTCTACCGACAAAAATTGCGTGTTCAACAGAAAACGGAAAGCAAATTGGTTTACAAACTAGCAGTTTATTTTCCCGCTGAGTCAGAAGAGAGTTGAAATTCTGTGGATTTACCGTTGATGAGCAGAACGCCAGTTTAAACCACATCACTTCAAAATATTTGTTTTCGAGCCGGGAGTTACGAAGAAAAATAGAGAGAAACTGGTTTTCTCTGCCAATTCAGTGACCTCATTCAAAAAAATTTTGTGACACACCCAAAGAAGTCTGTCCACCAAGCACAAACATCTATTGTGAATTTTACAGATGGATGAAAACTATAACTCGGTATCTTTTTGTGCTTGGTGGACAGAGTTATAGTTTTCATCCATCTGTAAAATTCTCAATAGATTGAATTGGTAGCCCAACTAACTCAACCAGGTGCATTAAATAACTGATGCAAACAGATTGCAACGAGACACCAGCGGATTTAGGGGGAGTACACTTTCCCATCAGGGATTCGACCCCCTGCCGACCCTAAGCCCCCCTCCCTTTTACTAATTTGAGATCTCCATTTTTGGCAGACGGACCCTAAAAAGGCGCCTTCGGTGCCAATAATTACTAATTTGAGGGGGAAACATGCGCCAAAAACGCAATTTTTTTGGTCAAAATTATCCAAAAAGTGCCTAGAAGCGAGAGCTCAGAAAATCAATTTAGTCAACCTAAAAAAAAGACGACCAACGAGAAGTTTGCAGTAAATCAAATCATTCAAAAGGCCGCCCAACTCACAAAAGGGAGCCCCTGTCAACAGCTCGAGCATCCAAGAAAGTAGCTATACATAGAAAATGAAGACAATATTAAGGTAGCACTTTCAAGAACCAAAGACTTTGCTCCCGTTTGATTTTTGGACAAAACCAACTCGCCAATTTCTGCCAATCACCATCAATACATGAAAGCTCAGACCGTTAAACTGAAGCCTCTTTTGGAAAGTGACGATTATCTCTTTTCTTATTAGCCCTCGGCCCAGCTCCCACCAGGGCTCGGGAACAATTAATTAAAACCCAATTAATTGCAATTAATTGGATCCAATCAATTGATTGTCGAGTCAATCCAATTCCAACTAATTGATTGCGAGGTTTCAATTAATTGCATTTATTATCCACCATCCACCATTTCAAACTTGCTACTCAATTTGTTTTGCAGTTGCAAATTGCGCTGCTCTTCGTAAAGATCAACAAAAATTTTTGCAGTAAAGAAACCATGAAAAACTGGAACTCTTTTAGTTTTTTTATCTAATCAAGTTCGAAATTAATTACACATGTGTGCCACGAACAAATCTTCAAAATTCTAGCCACCGATAGACACATGCTTTGAAATGCTTAAATGCTATGCAACAAACGCGCCACAGAAAAGGAGTACTACTTGATGCGATTTGAAATGAAACAAAAAACTGGACGCAAAGAAAAAAACTACGCTCGCAAGCTTGTTGTGTAAACATAGCCAAAAAACAGTTATTACAGAGTCAATGATCGCAAGGAAACAGAAAAAAACTGACTTGTTTTTTTTGAAAAACTTAAACTTTCGAATTTCAAAGAAAAAATAGATGCCCTTAAAGCTCTTTTAATTTCTAGAAAATTTTATGACCGGCGCTTTTCGACAAAATTGACCCAATTTGAGAAAACTCGATCAATAGGTAAAATTTTTATTTCGCTGGGAAATCTGAAAATTAAATTCCATTTTCAAAACTAGAAGTCGATCACGTTTTTATTGACCCTTAAACTTTCGCCGTTCGATAGTGAGTTTTTCTTCCTTTAAAATATATCAAAAATCAAACTAAATTTTTAAATTAAAAAAAATTAAAATAATCAAAAATCGAAAAAGTAAATTTGAGCCGAAACAAATTTTTAGACTTTTCCTGAATCAAAAACTAATATAAAAATCATCGCGACCTATGTAAGAGTCTGAACTACGTTCATCGACTCTTAAATGGCACATAAATCGAAGTGCATTCATAAATGCATTAATATGAATGAATGAACTTCTGTAGTTATTAGAGCATTTATAAGCTTTTTCTTGAAAAAAAACGAACAAAAAATCACCAAGACATGTATAAGAGTTTGAACGTCGTCCATCGACTCTTAAAAATCAAATATAAATTCTTACCTCTGCTACGTTCTCCGTGCCCCCTAGTTCGTCAATGAGCTGATCCAGAGTATTCGCAGGCAGACTTGACTCCAATCTGTCCAGCATAAGAAGGAGTTCATTTCGCATAGAGGTGCACAATTTGGCTGCCTCTGCTGGACTGGTAGCCCCTCCCCCATTGTTTATACGCGACAAATTCTGATTATTGACTCCTTGGTAGCCCGTCGACATAGAAATTGTGTTGTCTATGAACAAAAATCAATATGAATTTCTCTGTTAAATGTGACTTCATGTGAATCTGTTTAAATTTCAATGCGAGCCAAAAAAAACTTCAGGCCAAAAAACACTGCATTAACTTCTTGTAAATTGTGAAAAAAAAATTGAGAAAAATCAAAACCCTGAAGACCAGATATCTTTTCGACGACGAGTCTGGCATAGCATGATCGATGGCCTTTTTATAAATAAGCTTAGAATTGATAGTCTTATCTGACATGATTGATTAATAATCTTACTTTTCCGTTTCTTATTTGATGGATTTGAGAACGCGGAGTCTCTATCGTCTTCGTGCTCTTCCCACTTCCTTTTTTTCTTTCTCTCTCCATTAAGAGTCTTTTTGGTCGATTGGGGGACGTTCTTTTTCTTCTTGAGCCAAGGACATTCATCTTCTCCGTCTGAGTTATTCGTAGCAAACGGATTAGCGTCATCATCCTCGTCCTGGTCAAGCTCATCGTCATCTTCGACATCATCAATGTCGTCATTGTCAATTTCTGAGTTGTCATATCTATACCAACAATATATTAGACAATCCCATGATAAAACAACAATACGAAAATTTGATAATTTAGTAGACTGAAAAAGGATCGTGTCTGTTTTTGTAAGAAAAAGAGCCAGCATCTGACCCACATCAAATGTTCATTGTTGACTCGAACGTTCAGAGCAAAGAAAAACAGAGCTCAGAAAAAACGAAAAAAATTACTGGCTATTTTTTCAAGCAGTCTGCATTCGAATTTCGCAATTTTAACAAAGGAAATGAACTGAACTTAACCCACAGCAGCGAAGCTGAGCTTCACATCACTTGTGATATAACATGTATAGGATTAAAACAGCAAGACACTCAAGAAATATCAAATAGGACTTTGAACGTTGTTACTGTTGAAGAAAGAACGAAAAAAAAATTAAAATTTTCAAGTTTAAATTTTTTTGAAGTTCTTAAAATAGTTCCGAGTGGAATTGATAATGAGCATTCAAAAATTAGAGTCTAAGGTCTTATCGATATTATCGATATAACCGATAGAATCAAAGCCGCTGCCGAAAAAAATCGCGCGCTGCCGAAATATAATGCAAAATCGGTATCGGAGCAAAACTTACCAAGCGCTAACAAAGCCGAAAATACTTGAGCAGAAACCATTCATGAAGAAAAAAATATAAATCTTAACAACTGAAAAAAAATACTTCCCCCTTCCATTCAGAACACATACACTCATGCAAAAACTTTTTGGGTTTGAAACGCCATAAAAAATATATAACCGATAAAAAGAAAAAACGAAAACAGAGGAAAACTTAACAAATCGAGTTAGCAAAATTACAACCAATATTTAAACAAAATTCGATTTTGCCGGATATATAAAATGCTGAAACACTAAAAGCAAACACACTGAAAAAAGTGTACAGAAAAAGTAAACGATTCTTAGATGTGTCAACTAAGCCGACAGAACATAATCACACAAATATAAGCTCAAATATACTTGAAAAACAGGTTTTTAAAAAAAACAAGCCCTGGTCATATTCGAACCCATGACCTTTGCAGCCCAAGTCGTATTCGTTGGCTCCAGGATAAGTGTGTAAGAGATATTTAAAAAATTTGAAATCATTATGAGCCACACCATGAGATGAGTCTGGATGAGTACTGCGAACTAAGTTTTTTTCGGAAAAAAGTCTAGTACCCAATTGCAACACCTTTGCTTATCGCAAGGGTAAAAAAATCAAAAGTCAAACCGCGAAAAAAATCAAATTAGAGCAAGAAATAAATTTTACGACTTTTTCCTGAAAGAAAATCAGCAAGGCCTCTATGTAAGTGAAATCATTCGTTTTTTTTTTTTTTCATTTAACTAGTTCAAAACTCGGCAGCGGCAAGTACGATTTTGCTTCATACAGCTGATTTTACTGATGGCTCACCTCTCGGATCCGCTGTTGTCGAACTCGTCATTTTCGAGGAAATGCCTCTCATAATCACTCATACTAGGGTCCTCTTCGTCCGAATTGAAATCAGCCGAAAACGGCTTCGGCGTCTTTTTGCTGCCGAGTACAATTCCCTTTTCTTTCGGTCTACCCCTTTTTCGTTTGCTACCTGTTGGTGATAAGTAGTCATCTAGATCCCCTACTCCACTGTCGGCTCCGAAACCATTGTCCACGCAGGGAAAGTACTTTTCGACCAAGGCTTGAAACACGCCCCTTAAAGAAAACACTAACTCCAGGTGCTGAAATTTGGCGAAAATGACTTCTCAAAACAAAAAATGGCGTTCAAAATGAAAAGCCGAATTCTTGAAACAAAAATAACTCTAAAACTAATATTACTTCGCGGTGGAGACGAAATCGTCCAGTTGGTCATTTCCACCGCCAGCAGTGCCTCCTCCCATAGCCTCGATCTGTTCCAGAGTTCTGGCCTCTCCTGTGCTCTGTAGTCCAATCACCACACACTTTCCGTTCTTCAGGCCATGTCTCGCTATTGTGACCACGTGACGCACTTTCGAGGCTATACATAGATACTTGAAGAACCTCTGGTGCGACGACCAGAACTGACCCCACATCATTTTTGAACATGTCGTCCTTATTGTTTCGTCATCATTGATATATGCAGCCGCTTTACAAAAGAACTCACGCGCCTTGACCCACTTAAATCAAACGGATTGATGTAATTTCAGGCATACAATTTAATTTTACACATACAGAAACAGCATACACTCTTTTCCGTCTCGTATAAAAATGATATCGACTCAGAATCTTTGCGGTAAAGCAGCTACAACCAGATTCTTAACCACAAATCAACTTTTTTCGAGACTAATTTAAAAAAAACAATATGTCAATCTCTGGTTTGAAGAAAGCGGGATGAATTCAGCGTCTTTGGACTGCTTCAGTGAAAAATAGCGTTGAGGAAAAATTAGTTATAATCGTAACAGCTTCATTAGGGCTAGTACTCTAAAGAGAATGAACCTGTAGAACAAACAATTGAATGGTTTCTTGATTACTTACTAATGCCACGGAGTCATTGTACATGCGCTCAAAGTCAGGAGAGAGGGGCACCTCCTCGATTTTGAAACTGACACCAGCAAAACTCAATTGACGCGCCAGATACATTCCCCGCAGCTGAAATCAAAGGGAAAAGAAAATTAACATTTAAACTTTGCTCAAAAAAGACAAGATATCTGCGCGGTTCCTGAGAACGATGGTTATTTGCAATACATCGAAAAAAATTTCAGGATTACCAATTTTTGAAAATACTGGACAAATAAATCAATAAAATTTGTTGAGAATTAAGCGAAGTCGCAAATTTGCTGCGTGAGTGTAGAAATTTTGGTACTAGATAGCCGACAGAGTTAAGCCGAAAGAAAATTAATTTGATGGCGCATCAACAGCAATATCTCAATTTTACTATCCCGGCTCTCATTATAACTAGCATTTGATAAAAACCCTGAATTTATCAAAAAACCCGAATTTATCGGAAAAAATATCTGCATCCTTTGAGTGTACTCTGACAGCACCGATTTACAGGGTTGGTAATTTCAGAAGTTTTTTTCTTAGTTTTTTATAAACTCAAATTTTGAAAAACCATAAAATCTTTTTTTTATATCTAAGTTTGTGATAAAAAAAAAGGTACGTCACATCTCGAAAGCTTAAAGCAATTGAGCAGTAGCATTTGGACGCAAGATTTGCAACTCCTGAGAGTTCTCTGACAGCCCCCAAATGCAGGGTTCGGATTTTCAAACTTTGGAAAAAAAATCAAATTTTCTGAAAGTTTTTTTCAAAAAATCACAAAAATGTCACATCTGGAAAACTACAAATATTTGAGCAGTCATTTTTGGAGGCAAGATTGGTGGCAACTCCTGAGAATACCCTAACAGCCCCATACTAAAGGGTTGGAATTTCAAATTTTGAAAAAAAAATTAAGTTTTCTGAAAATGTTTTTGAAAAAATCAGAAAAAATGTCATATCTCTAAAACTTCAAGGATTTGAGCAGTCATATTTAAAGGCTAAATTCAGAACTCCTGGGAATTACCTAACAGAGCCTCACTATAGATAGGGAAAATCCTAAAAAAAACGTATATCTCGAAAACTACAAGAATTTGAGTAGAGATATTCATAAGCCAGATTCGCAACCCCCTGAGAGCACCCTCTCAGATTCCAATAACAGGAGTGATATCTTCAAAGTTTTGGAACTTTTTAACATTCAAGTTTTTTTTGAAAATTTCGGAGAAAATCATTTAAAAAGTCATATCTCGAAAACTATAAGGATTTGAGCAGTCATATTGGAAAGCAAAATTCGCAACTCCTGAGAGTACCCTGACAAAGCCTCACTACAGAGATGATAAATTCAAATTCAACGAAATTTTTTATACCTAAGTTTTCTGAAAAAATTTGAAAAAAATCCTTAAAAACGTCATATCTCGAAAACTACAAGAATTTGAGCAGCCATATTCAGAGGCAAGATCCGCAATCCCCTGAGAGTACTCTCACAATATACAAAAACAGGATTGAGATCTTCAATGTTTTGGAATTTTTAAAATTTAAGTTTTTCAATATTTTTGGAAAAAAATCATAAAAAACGTCATATCTCGAAAACTACAGGGATTTAGGCAGTCACATTTGGCGGCAAAATTTGCAACTCCTGAGAGTACCCTGACAGAGCCTAACTACAAAGATGCGAATATCACATTTTGTGAAATTTTTTATATCTAAGTTTTCTGAAAAATTTTGAAAAAATCCTTTAAAAACGTCATATCTCGAAAACTAAAAGGATTTCAGCAGCCATAATCAGAGGCAAGATTTGCAACGCCTGAGAGTACCCTCACAATACACAATATCCAAAAACAGGATTGCGATCTTCAACGTTTTGGAATTTTTTAAAATCTAAGTTTTTGAAAATTTTTTGAAAAAAATCATAAAAAACGTCATATCTTGAAAACTACAAGGATTTGAGAAGTCAGAATTGGAGGCAAGATTCGCAACCCCTGAGAGCACCCAACTACAGGGTGAGAAATTCAGAAATTGAGAAACTTTTTTAAGATTAAATTTTCTAGAAATTAAAAAAAAAATCTCGAAAATTGCCAATCTCGTAAACTAAAAGGATTTGGTTATTCATATACGAATCGCAAAACATGGGAAAACTCTTACAATTTTCTACTATTGGGTTGCTAATTTCAAACTTTATGAAAGAAACACTGAATTTAAACTGGAAATCGAAAAAACCTTAACCATTGCAATATACGACATAGCTTAAACGTGAAAAAATTCTTTTGTTAAACATGCAAAAATAATACGTTGAAAAAGCTTAAGCATGGCGAGAAAGTGAAGCCCGCATTTAAATATATCAGAGAAGAGATGAAAGTTAAAAAATTAAACGACGGGTAGACAGACATAATCTTGATTTGGCCGCAAAAAAAATACCGAAAAATAATGACCTTGCGGAAACTTAAGCATTGCAATATATGATATAGCTTAAACATGAAAAAATTCTTTCGTTAAACATGCAAAATTATTATGCTTAAACATGGGAGATAGCTGTCACTCGCATTTAAATATAGTATAGATAGATAGATATAGATATAGATAGATAGATATAGATAGATAGATAGATAGATATAGATAGATAGATAGATATAGATAGATAGATAGATAGATAGATAGATAGATAGATATAGATAGATTATTCGTTTATGAAGGAGATAGGTACCTCTTTCGATTAAAAATTTGTTCCCCAAATATCTGACCGCTCAAATCCTTGAGAACTACAAATCATACATACCTTCATGTCCATGGCGACAATTTCCATAGCACCAACACCTCTCCGCTCTACAGCCTGAATAAACTGGTTGAAGTCTTTGAAGGGCGTCCCCGGACCCCACAAACCCAGCCGGGTCATATAGGCCATATTTTTGGGCTCACTCGCACCCGTAGCACTGGCATACACAATTCTCGCTTTAGGCAGCAGTCTCTGGATTTCCAACACAACTTGGCCAGTTTTTGTTGGCTTCGATCCCCCGGTTGGGACCAAATTTTTGGCTCTGTGGCATTCGTCAAAAATAATACATCCATCAAAATCGGACTTAAACCATTGCACCAGCTGATTCAGTCGACTCTTTATTTTGTTATTACGACGTGATGACTCTGATATTAGAGATGAGTATGTTGAAAATACCACGCCTTTCTTGATAGATCCGTTTTCCTTGCTGGATATTTTGGCGTAGCGGAATTTGTTCAGAGAGTATACTGGTATGTCAATGGCCCCAATATCTTTCAGATCGCGTGCAGCATCGTATTTCAAATCATTTGAAACCGAAACCCTAAGGATACTTTAACCATCAACAAAAGCGTTGTATGCGCGTTATATACATGAAAGTTGATAGCAAATATATTTTTAAAATTAAAGACGACTTGTTTAAGCGATAGGACTTTTCACATATGAAGACAGCCCGATGAAACTTTCCTGGCCCCCAACTAAGTGAGGATGTTTTTTAAACCAAATGCAAAAATTCAACATTTCAATTCCCAGCATTTTCAAATTTGAATTTGAGACTAACCATAAGGCTTTCTTCCTGTCCAGAAGGTAATTCTCGAAAATAATTCCAGCAATAGTTCGTCCCTTTCCCACTCCTGCTCCGTCGCCAATCAGGAACCCCGCTCGTCTGTCATCCGCAAGGAACCTCTCATGCCTTTGACACGCATAGACGACTGACTCCAATTGCAGCGCGGAAATAGAGCCAGAGTCTATAGTCGCCTCCGGTAGAGCCAGTTCGTAAAATATTCTCGGCGGTTGGACACTTGAAAGCGAACTCGTTTCCACAACTGGATCTGGATGAAGTTGCCCTAGTTTCAGTTTAGCAGGGTGGTAGTTGGCAAAGGTTTCTGCGTGAGTCATGGTTTCCTCCTCTTCTACTGCATTGTCTTCAACTGAGTTTTCTTTCAGAGGAGCTTTCGGCTTGGAGGTATCGGCTTTCATTGCCTGGAAAATGCTGTTCGGTCAGTATTATTCAGAATTACGTTTTATTAGAGTTCTAACACGAATAATATTTTGATTCTGATCATTGGTCTTCTAGAGGGCCATTCACATTCAAATTCTATGGTTTTTTGTAGGCTTACTGAACAGAGAATAACTTAAACCTCATATTTTCAGGGAAAAAAAGAGAATTATCGACTAATCATGAAGCGAATCAAGATTGAAAACAATGATAGCCGTTTGCTGTGCAAGTAGCACGGAATGTTCCGATCACATTCATAGAAAAACTACGAAAAATAGGTTGTTTTTTTCTTCGTCCCAAATAGGCGTCATTTCTTGTGAGAGTTTGGTTTGATGAGAGAATTATACTAACTAGTAGACTTTTTTAAATGTTTGCAATGTTTCTTTTAAATTTATTGAAAAGAAAAGGGGTAAATGAAGCTTTCTTAACTAGTTTCCTTTGAATAAAAGCAAGTTTTCTCAGCCTAATTAATCAATTTTCTTATCGAAATTAGACTAAAATTCGAAAATTTCCGGTTTTTCTCGACACTGAGGTAACTTTTTAAAACTTTTAATGTCATTCGAATCGCAACTGAAGGGGTATTCCGATGATTATTTGTAGTACCTGCCTAAGCGTGAATAACAAAAACTGAAAAAAACTAAAACACATCTAAATATACAAAGTTGCTCCCCATTTTCAATGATCGGAGCCAAAACGAAGATGGAGGCTCAGGAATCAGCTCAATCACTTAAATCACCCATATAATATGCTGATAGTTGTTTCTAATAAAAGGATTAACAAACCAATTGTGAGATCAGATCGTCTGGAAATTCAAACATAGTCATCAGACAGTTGGAAAGTAGTCATGAACTGAAGGTAACAAATAAATATGGCCTTAAAGCTCTTTGAATTTCAAGAACAATATATGATTGAATTTTTTTTGACAATTTTTTTTTGATCGAACACTGGATCAATAGATAAACTTTTCGTACCGCTGAGAAATCTGAATATTTCAACCCTCTTTCGAAGCTAGAAATCAATCACGTTTTTTGTGGTCTTTACACTTCTACTGTTCGATAATGGAGTTAAACTTCCTTTCAACAAAGGAAATAAAAAGTTTTCCTTAATAAAAAATTTTCAAAAATCAAACCGCGAAAAATCAAAAATTAACGTGAACAAAATTAAACTATTTTTTCCTTAAAACCACCATTTTTAATTTCAAAAATCCTTTATGGTTGACACTTTATCGTTAAACTAATCCATCCAGCGAAAACAGGATAAATCCGGTAATTTTTTTCCCACTGAAACCTTAAAAAATAAAGCCCACTTTGACACTAAAACAGATTCAGATTTTTTGCACCATTTTGTTAATGAGAGATTTAATTACCATTCGTCGAAATGATTTAAAGCGTTCTCAAAACTGTGCCAAACTAATTATGAGCCGACGAACATTGACCTTCAATGAGAAACAGTCAGTTCTAAACTGCTCGTTTTGCTTGCCACGAATTTAAAACATCCCAAACTTATTCAATGGCGAATCTCAATACTTTATTCGCTGAAATAAAAGATACAGTAAGTATTGATCCTAAATTGAAAGGCCGACTACAAGGGCTAATTGAGAATGTAAAAGGTAAGGATGATATCATTGTTGGGCTGCAAAATCGGGTGCATTTTCTAGAGAATAAAGTTAATGAAATGGAAAGATATAGCTCAAAAGATTGTGTTATTTTGCAAAATTTACCTTTACATTCCGGAAATTTTACCCAAGATGTCCTGGCCTTTTTTAACGAAGTTATGGGCGTGGAAGTGAACAGCTACGACCTGAAGGCATGCCATCCCATCGGCCCTGTGAGTCAAAACCAAAAATGTGTGGTTATAGTGAAATTTGTCTACTATGATATAAAAAACAGAACTTATGGCAGGAGAAAGTTATTGAACGATTTTTTGCACCCTGTAAATAAGCAACCAGTGTATATAACAGAGAGATTTACTCAGCGCGATTCAGAGCTTTTTGATTATTCTCGGGGTTTGGGAATGTACACAGTTACATATGATTGTTCTCCTCAAGTTTTCGTTTCGAAAGCAGATGGTGGATTTCAAAGACACAACTTAGTTGATATTAAGGATGCTGATCAAATTTTCAAAAACAAGAATCCAATGATGGCAAGACAGGCAAATAATGCTAGAAAACAAAATCCTCGTGTGCTTCAAAATAATCAAAACAACTTTTCTCACCCTCCTATTGTTTCAGCGAGGAAACGTGACAGAGAAATAAACCCAAATAATGTGGAAAGAAATTATCTGATTGATGAATTGTACAGTAGGGTATCGGATCCCGTCAAATTGGTGCAATTTGTGGAATCACTTCAAAGAGATTCTCCACAGTCGAAATTCGTCAACAACGGAAATAATAATCATGAAAACGATTCTGATTAGTGGCAAAAGCATTTCAACTCTATTTACAGTTTTTGCCGTAAATCTCTTTTGTTTCATTAGAAAAAAAAACCTTTTGCGAGATATGACTGACCTGACAACAACTCAAACAGCATTTTTCCTAAATGTTCAATCCATAAGAGCCCATCATGACCAATTATCCGTTTTAATTGAATCCTTCGATAACAAGCCTGCATTAATCGGGCTGACTGAAACATGGCTCTCAGACAATGATCCTATTGGCATATATAACTTAGAAGGTTATGACAATATTGTCTGTGCAAACCGCGTAAACGCTAGAGGTGGGGGCGTTGCAGCTTTCATTAAAACATTCGTAAGTTATTTTAAATTAGGAGTCTGCTTGGAGCACATCGTTATCAAAATATGTTTTGTCGATCACACTACACTAAATGTTTGCATAATATATCGTCCACCAAATCTCAAACTAGAACTTTTTTTGAATTTATTTGAAGATTTATTGCTTGAATTGAAAGCATTAAGCGGTGAAATTTTGCTAATGGGTGATTTAAATGTCGATATAACAGGTAACCAGCGCAACTTTTTTGACTACAAAAACCTTCTGCTTTCTTTTGATTTAGAAGTTCAAAATATCAACTAGAGTAACTAAATCATCAAGTAAGCATGAAAACTAGAACACAAATAACGCAACGTTCATGGAAAAATGTGTCTCTTAAATGTTATAATTTTTTGAAATCAAATGAGCTGATACCAGATAACCTAACCCAATTAACTGAGCATCAACAAAATGGGTATTTCAAAAAATTGTTTTCATTGTTTCTTTAAGATAATGGAGATCTTCTAGATTTATTTTTTTGAATCATCAAGTCGGATACTATCTAGCAACTTCTGTCATAGGTTTTTTCAGGGTCATGCCTCGATAAGCTGCAAAGCTTTTTGCATGATCCTTGGTGGGTTTGATTTGTACATGCGGTTTATTGTTTACCTGTCTGTATAATATTACTCTCCTAAATAAACAATACTATGAGCCCAAACAAAAAACAGAAAAAAAACACTCGAACTAAGTAAGTTTTTTTTATTGACAGACAGACACTTATATAAGTATTGTGGGAGCGCATTTAACTAATTTCAAACCAATTTGGCACCCACGCTCAACCCTTCATGTTGACTTCATGCACGATCTTGAAAACGAATTCTTACGCCATAAACATATTAACGACGAGTGACAAGTGGGAGCGGTGAGCAAAAATTTTCCTTTCAAAAATCTTTTTAGACATCGAACTTAACAAATAAAAAAAATGAACTCAAAGCGAGCAAATAAGCTACACTTTTTTTGTAAACACCGCGGAAAAAAAATACCCGACTTCAGAAATACAAATACAAACTGCCGGACAAAATATATAAGACATAACATATAAAAAGTACCCCATCACACTGACACAATCAATGAATCTTTTTTGAAATTCATATGGCATGTAGTACTACCAGTTCATAAGAAAGCCATCTCTCCGTGCTCGATTCCAGCCAGCATGAAACTCTTAATTCTATGAATTCCAACAAATAAGACGAGTAAGAATCAATGCGCTCCATAAATATGAACGCACTTTCTATTACTGAAAAACTCAGAGCCAACACACAGTTGGATGAGCGTTTATAAAAATACAAATCGAACACAGGTCTGATTTCTTTTGTGCTTTTCAACATTCAGGCCCTCTAGCTCATCCAACTTTAAAAGCTTCGTTGATTATCAAAACTTTTTAATAGGCCAACAACATCAATTGAGAAAATTGTTTTTTTTTTCCGTAATTTCATTGAAAATTCGTGAAATAAATTCACTTTCGAACGCTAAGCGCCAACGTTCTGAGATTTTCATTTCCGATCTTGACGAGCGTAAGCAACGCACTGGATGGAATTGAAGTTATAACGCGATTGTGCAATGCTCCAAAACGCCGAAATTTGCAAATTTTCTGATAAAAGCGCCCGCATACAGGCCAGTTTTTAAGCTTGTCAGAGCTCTAATAACAAAATTTAATTTCTCGAAAACTGTTACCTTTAAAAGAAATCAAAAGTCAAACCGCTAAATATTAAAATTTAGCGTGAATAAATTTTGAGGTTTTCCTGAAGAAAATTTGACTTAAAAATCCAGTTTTGAACGCAAGTATGATCTTCTCGGCCTATAGGAAAATAGCCAAAGTAAAGAACGCAAGTAAAATATTCACGGCCACTAGGAAAACAGCCTAAAAAATTGCATGCTGTTCTCAAGCAGGAGCGCAGCAGTGGATCTCCGTAAAGAGCTCAACAGCTAGCTCATATGCTGGTCTTTTCGTTTATGAATAAATCGTCCCAAAATTGAAAACATAGCCAACAAACAGTTGGAAAAGAGTCAATGAACGCAAGTAAACACAAAACAAACTGACTCACCTTTTTGTGAAAAAAATTCAAGTTCGAATTTCGAAGAAAAAATAAGATGCTCTAAAAGCTCTTTGAATTTCATGAAAAATTTATGATTGGCACTATTTTGATTAGATGTGAGAAAACTGGATTTTCAAGTCAAATTGTTATTTCGCTGGAAAACTTGAAAATTAAATTCGAC